CTTACAATGGTTTGGTCGAATCGTATTTTATTAGACTTTCTCCTAAATAGTCATTCGAGTTAATTAGAGTTAATCATACAGGCATGAAAACGAAAGCGTTAATCAAGAGCGTTGGGAGAACGCTTGAATACTTTCATTCTTTTCACGAAACTATTCTTGCGATCACTAATTCATTCCGTGGCATTAAAAAAAGCGTTATTATTTATTTCTTAACGTTGCAAACTCGACTCTAATATTAAAAGGAGATACTAGCAAACGTCCCAGTTTCTATTCGCTCACAATTTCTACTCACTGTTTTTTTTTCTTCTTCTTCGAGGCAGTAGAAACTGCAACGTGAACAGAAATTGGAACAGCTATAATACTTCGATTTCCTTTCGCAATCGTATTTAAATAACGAGGAGACGTTGACTTAGGTGTTCGAGGGAGCCAGGGTACGATGCACCGGGCTTCGTGGAGGAGTTGTATTGTGGACCGGCGCGAGGGAACAATGCCGGTTGCCACTATCATCAGCCGATCTACGAGGACGAGGTACCGGATTACGTCGCCCCGTTTCCGGTCTACGCGCCTCTCTCCGGTAAGGCTAATTGCCCTTTCCCGGGGCTCCCTGCCGCTAAATTAGTCGCGGGAAGAAATTGTTTGAACGGGGAAACCTACTTCGATTGTTCCGCCGTTCGATTCTTTTAAGAACACTTTAGATCCGCGAACCCGATCACATCTGATGATCGCGTCGTTTGCAATTCTAGATCAACGATAACCAGGCTAGACTAACGGGTTCTTTTTTCATTATTTAACGTTGTATGAGTTGTAACATCGTTGCTAAAAGTTTAAGACATCTAATAAAAATGTTCAGTATTTGAAGCAATTATGTATACACATAAATATGTACATATGTATATATATAAACTGTTAAAGTTTCAGTGCTTTGCCATTGTTTCTATATAAGAGTTCATGCAACATTCTTTTTTTCAGATGTGAGACACGGTGATTACATGGAAGACCACAGGCGACACAGGCACAGGTGCAAGTCGACTGCCACGAGAAATCTTCATAGGTACATCTAAGCTACACTGACAATCTTTTTCATTTTTATTTTATAATTACTTTTTTTTTAAGATCCATGAGCGTGGATTCGAGCCTGCCACCGATGGGTCCCGTAGAATTAGGTACAAAATTATACATATACAAATATGTCATTTATT